ATGAGAAAATATATATCTATGCTTTAGAAGTTAATTACTTCTTTCTGTCATTCTATTTTAATTAATACTTATTTTACTAAGTAAATATTTTCGAATAATTACACAAGCGCTTTTTATACAAAATTTCAGGTTTTTGGCAAAGTTAAAAGGCAAATATAGTCAGAAAATATGTTTTTTAACATCCACTGGTTTGAATTATAAAGAAATACTTGTTCTTTGAAATTTCTACAAATTGTTGAACCTTCTGTAACAGAAGTTGCATCAACAGAAGAATTACTGAAAGTCAAATTATTTGTTTGAAGAATTACTGACGGTCACATTTGTTACTTATTGGTAAGTCAAAACTGTAGCCATGATTAAGTAAGAATTATTTATTCACAACTGGGAAAGGATTCGGGATAAATGATCTCGTAAAAGCACCTGTAATGAGGGAAGAAGGTTTGCCTTTTGATGTCCTGCAGAGATCTAAATTTTTGCAATGTTATGATAAGATACTGCATTAAAATTTCAAAAAAGTCATTTATAATTTGCTAAGTTATAATACTCAACATATACTTCAATATATGTAACATATAGTTAATATTTTCAATATATAGAGTGCATATTTCTATAAGTTACATATTAAAAGTACCAGTTGCATGTTAACTGAAATCTTGCCCCCCCAAAAAAAAATCTAAATATCTGTCTTCAGAGCTTTCAACTAGAAACTTATATTCTTTAAAAGACGTAAAAAATATATGTCAGCATGCGGGAAAAGCTATGATAAACGGAAGGAAGAGTAAAATCCTCTTACAAGGCTTCTAGACGTTTCGGACAATATTTTATCACTGTTTATTAAACATACATATTGATCATCACTATAAGAAGAAATTATAGGACTAGATGTTAGTTTCATCGACTGAAAAAAATAAATCGAAATGATATAAAGGAACGGTATAAGAAAAATCTGGCTATTTACATCTAGATAAAGGAATTCAAAAAGAGCATTAATAAGAATAATGAATCGTAACAGATTGTATTTTAAAGTTTTCTCACATTTTATAATCATTTCAAATGTGTTAGTTTCGAAGACATCTCCAGCTGTCTTCTTTAGTTTATATGAATGTTTCAATTTTTCTTCTTTTTAAACTTGTTTTATCAGCTTTTACGCTTTTCTACAATAATTGTTTATTCATCTTTAGTGATAATTATTGTTTTAGCATCAGAAAAGGAATTTATTACTTTCTATAGTCATTACTGACTATTCCTGACTATACCTCATTGAAACCGATTGTGTAATTTCTTCTTTTCTAATAAATATGTTGTTACATATGGCTTTATTGGAAAGATCAATCCAAACATATGAAACAGCTCAAGTATCACACAAGAACAATAATAAATAATAAAAAAGAACAAACATTTATAAAGAATCAGAGTAAATGAACATGGGAACGAAAGAAAAAAGTTAAAAATTTAAGCAATAAGGAAAGGAACATAAGAGATGTGGAACATAAGAGATGTAGTCTTTATAAGGAGTTCATGAAAGCTCTGGCATTCCAATATAGTTTACTTTATCTCACCACTTTTCTGAGACTCTTTATCTAGTTCTGGGCATTTAAGAAGATGCTCTTCATTCATGATGCCCGAATTGCAAATTTAGCATATACTAGATGGAAGGATGCCAATTTTATTAGGATGATGTGCTATGCAATCGTGACCTGTTTGCTGAAGTCTGCCACAGCCTCTTTGCAGGATTTTTGACAAAAGTTTACCATGTGTCTTGAATGTTAGCCCAGGATTTGCCTGTTGATTTTGCTGCATGGTCAGATTTAAGAGTATCCGTTAATTTCCCAAAAATATGCTTTTTAAATGACTCTGGAGGAAGTGGTTTGTTGTCTTGTGGCGCAAGTGTTCCTCTTTTGGCTAGTGAGTCTGCCTTTTTGTTACCGCCGATACCTACATGTGAAAGATTCATTTAGAAACGATTGTTTTATTGTGTTTATGAAGAAAGTTCAAGGTTTGTCTTATTTCAGAGACAATTTGGGTATCTCTGTCATGATTTATAACTGCAGCCTGCATGGCTGCTTTGGAATGAACTAGAACAACTGCTTTAGAAAAACAATCGATCTTTATCTTGAGGTTTTCCAGATCGGGGATTGCAAGGATCTTTGCATCAAAATTAGACATGAAGTTTCCCACAAGAGTACATTCGAAAAAAAGTTTACTGTATACACCAGCCCCAGAGTTGTCTTACATTTTAGAGCCATCATTGTATACTCTAGTCCAGAAGTTCTCAACCTTTTGACTAAGGCGTACCATCTAAACAAAAATTGAAAACCTTTAGTAAAACCACTACATTTTACAACGATTATTTTTCAATTTCTAAGTAGAAATATTTAAAACAAAATAATGAAAGCTTTCAGATTTTATATTACGCTCAAAGAGAAATTTGTTTTAACGTTTTGTGTGTCATCTTTATTTATTAAATATCATGTTCTTCGCACTTAAACCATAAAATTCAATTCAACAGCAATATCACAAAGCATTAAAAAGAGCATATCTTTAGTATTTCCGACAGACAGTCTCGCGCGCTGGAGATTAAATTTTTGTTTTCGTACAGTGTTGCCTTTGCTCGCTTTGAAATCATTGAGTTTGTTAATCAAAAATTCGTTTAAAGTGTTATAAAATATGAAATGTTGGGGCGTTGCGGTATTTAATGCAGGATGTTGTAGTATTTATTTTTTGAATTTAATAGTTAAAAATACTTTGGTTCTTTGCATACCACCTATTTTTTCTTGTGTACCACCGATTGAGAACCTCTGCTTTAGTCCACTGAGGTTCAGGGTATTGTTCATGTAACATACACAATGTGCTTGGTTTTAATATTGCGTCAGGAATGTTTTCCTTTCCCAAGTCGTATATATCTAGCTAGTATTTGATATTAGTGTATTCAAGGGGATTAATCATGACCTTATTGCAATTCATTAGTTTGTTTTCATCTATTTTTTGTAATAATTTCTCACATGCCTCTAGGGAGGGTCTTCATAGTACTTGGTTTGCCTTCGTTCATTCAATGCGCTTCACCGATGCTTTCATTTTAACGAATGTACCAACTGCTTGTTTTTTGATTTTAATAGCAATTGGTGGATTGGAAGTATAACTTTGCATAGCTGTAACTGTTTCACCGCTCCTGTGATAATTCGAAGAGCTTTGCTTTGGGCTTTTTCCCAAAGAGTCAATCTTCCCTTGTGTGGTAAAGATTAACACCGCACTTCCATATTTGAAAATAGGTTTCATATAAGTTTTATTTAGGATATACTGTGAGCTTCCCCATTTGGTACCGGCTAGTCTTTTTAAAATTGAGTATCTTTTCTCTGCTTTTTCTATAACAGTATTCACATGATTAGTAAAGTTTAATTTGTTGTCCAGCACTTCGCCTAGTTATATGGTACTATTGCGTTTTTGAAAAGAGTAGCGTTGTCTGTTTTTAATTCAAAGTCTGTATTTACATGTCTCAGGTAGATTGTTTTGTTTTTATTTATAATCGTATTTCTAATAATATTTTTAAGAATATTTAATCACCTCTTATGAAGCTGTGGCCTCCAATGTAGTTGTAGTATATTTGGGATCTATAAATTTCTCGAAATAAAATAATGTAACGATATTAACACTGCGCCCATTAGCAGAACAATTACCAGCTAATCAATAAGGGTATTTATAGACCAACTTTAAGCTACTACATTTATTGTTTATTCATATTATTTTATTGTATGAAGTGTGCATAGATTATATGTGTTTCAGTTTTCGTAATGATATGCACTTTCTTTATCTGCTGCTTGCTTCCTGTACCAATCGATGGAAATATCCGGTTTCGGTTTAAAAAAAAAAACAACTGCGGGATATTCGATAAGCAGTCAGTTAAGACGCTAGACTATTAAAGTCTGCTGTCCACACTTTTATTCAAAGACTGTGCTTGAATTTTTTTAAAGCTGAATCCATTCTTCATATGACGATGTCCTTGTTGTGGATTTAACTTGAGAAGCTCTTCCGATCTGTAACGGGAAGATTATAATATCCTCTTGAAATTAAAGACACAACTTAGTCTCTTTAAACTCAGTATTAATTCAGAACCTTACAATTTACAAGAGAATTCTAGAACTTATTGTCATTCATTGCACAAAACTGAAAATTATCTTGTATTTGTAAGTTTAGCAGTTCCTTGAATGATTTCTATTATAATGCTTTATATCCCTGCTTTAAATTATATATTTTGTTTTCAATAAGACATCTGCATTTCATATTCAATATTATAAGGTATTTCTCCTTCCTTTCTGTATGCCTTCGTGGTGTAACGGTAGCCCACTCGGCGCGCATTCGAGAGCTCCCAAATTCGAATCCCGGCGAGGGCATTGCACATTTTTCATCTACTCCTGCTTTAAAATAACCTAATATCTCTACAGTGGCGCCCGAACTAAAAGATGCTGGATAATGATTCTTCACCACTGGGATTAGGCGGGTCATCTAATCCTCAGTCGCCCTTTGAAATGGGGAGTATATAATGCATTTTCTTCCTTCTTTTTACATGACTTCATGGTTTAATGGTAGCATACTCGGCGCGTATTCGAGAGGTTTAGGTTCGAGTCCCGTTGAGGGCATTGCTAATTTTTCACTTCACCAGCATAAAATTAACCTAATGGATCTACAATGTTTTCCGAATTTTCTAAAAATATGGCATTGTTATGTAGAGATCCGCAACAAATTTTTATCCCAAAACTATGCATATAATGCAAGAGATTTATCTCCTCTAGTTAGAACACATTCGAAAAATATCACGAAGAAATTCATTTGCTAGATACGCGATAAGATATAGTTTAATTATCGAGGCAGCGCAACGTTTTGTGTAATAAAAAAGTTCAAGAAACTCTGAACAGTTTATCATTCGAACAAAAGTAAATTTCTTGCAATATTAGTTGAGCAATTACGCTGATAGGAATTCGAACGCGACTCAATTCAACGACAGTTCTATCGCTCGCAAACAGAATGTTAACATTCTTTTTTAATCAAATATGGCGCTTTTTGGCAGGCGATACAGGTAAAGTTTTCGTGTTTCGGACATAATGAATGCACGCGGGGGGGGGGGAAGAATATCGAGAAAAAAGCTACCTCAAAGAGATCAAAAAGCCGAAGTTCGCGAAGCATTGTGGGATAGCTCAGGTAAAATACTTCTACCTCAGTACTTTTGGATCAGTGCCTTTCGCTTACAGGCTAAGACACACGTGTTTAACCCTCATTTAAAACGTGGAACTGTGTGTTAAATCAGGTGAGTTTATATTTTAAGTATAAACAATTACATATTAATTATTGAGTATAATTTTGTACAATATCTAAAGCTCTTATGACAGTTATTTGTTGTAGATAGTTGTATTATAAAATTGCTTAATTTTGCTAAAAATTTAAAAAGCAACTTAAGTTTTTAAAGAATTTAAAATTTTGATAACAATATAATGTATTTTAGTATATTTTAATAACTTGTGAAACATCATGCAAATTAAAACTAATGAACTGTATTAATATTTTCAAGCATTCTTTTCCTTGAAATTAGTTTTGCAGTATAATAATTAATATGGTTATCATTATATGACATAATGTTGTATAGATGTATCCTTAGAATGCGCAATATATATATAGATATAGATATAGAGAGATACAGACAAAAAAAAAGTAACATGTGGATAGGTCTTTCATGTTTCACGTTTTCGGAACAATATACGAATATTTTCTATCGTTCGAGGTATTTTATGACTTTTTAAAACACTCGTTTCTATTTTAATGTATAACTGGTAGTTTTTTTAAAATTAGTTTTACTATACGTGTCATTTGAAAATATCTTTTAGTTTTGTAATTTTTTATGCTAAATTATCCTTAAGGATTAAAACTAAACATACTACTCTGAACTATAAAAATTAAAAATGAAAACGTTCTCTTGTGTAAAACGCGAAACGCAAGAAACTTCCGTTTGTAAGTCGCACTTATGCAAAAGCAGTAATTCTTCGAGATAAGAGTTTATGACTAAGATGTCAACATATATATTAGCAAGGAATTTTAAGCTTTTTCAAGCATCCAACGTATTAGCAATGAATTTTAAGCTAATTTTGATACAAGCCTCTAAACTTCAAGAACTAAATACCGATATATAATTAATAACTGTAATTCATCTGATGAATTTAATTTCATCATTCATGCTCTGAATTCTTGCAGAAACTGACCTAGATTTTATGCCAAATTTTAAAAAACATTTTGCTTAATGGACCCGCTACTAGTTGGAGGAAATTTAATTAAAATTAAGATATCTATAGAGCAGAAAACTGTAAATTAGACCTGCATTGTTTTTAAAGAATTACTAAGTCTTGCTTTATATTCACATGTATAAATCATTACATTTGCATATTTCAAAAAGTGTAGGATAATTTAACTAAACTGTATAAACTAATTCATTTACTTTTCATTCTTAATCAAAAATAACACTACACGGATATACATTCAATTTTCTTACATCTAAAATGTCAGAATAATTGGGAAGATATTGCAACTGAAAGTAATCTATAGAAAAAATTTTCGATAATGATAACAGTCAACTTATTTGCATTTTGAACCTATATACTCTGTTTTTGTCAAACTATATTCATCTTTCTTACCGCACTGATGTATTGATAGAAAAATATTCGAGGGATTTCTTATAGTTACAAACGTTTACTGATATTGGGAAGATACACTCACTTCCAAAAGTTAAGCACGAAGATGTAAAATGGAAAAAAATCGACAAATACTGCTTTCATTACACAAAATTCGGCAGGAAAGTAGCATATATATTTATGCATAAAACAAAATCAATAATTATATACAGAAATGAAAGCAATATTAAATTTTTGTAAGTTATCAGATAATGACATACTGAAGACTTAAACAAAATTATGTATAAAGTGAAAATAAACAGCATAAAAGGAAAAAAAGGGACATTAATTGGGTATGTGATCCTCCCCTCATCTGTATACAAAGTTTACACCTTGTGACCATGCTTTCAATTAGGTAGTCAACCACCGCAGAATTAAGCAATCGCCATTCTTCCTGTAGAGCAGTTTCCAGCTCAACAAGAGTGGCTGGAGGTGGGAAACGTGAAGATACAGCACGGCCGAGAGCATTCCAAAGATTTTCAATGGGATTAAGGTAGGGCGAATATGCTCACCACGCCATACGCGCAATAACTTCACTCTCCAGGTAGTCATCGATGATGTCAGCTCTATGGGGACGTGCGTTATCGTCCATTAAAACAAAAGCAGGGCCAACTGCTGCATCGTACAATCTCACAATGGGTTCTAGGACTTCATCTCAATACCGGACAGCAGTCAAAGAACCCCGTTTAAAGACGTGCAGGTCGGTGCGGTATCCTAATGAAAAGCCTGCCCACAGCATAATGCTTCCTTCTCGGAATGCGTGATGTTCGGTGATGTTTTGGGACTGATTGCGTGTTCGTTGTTCACGTCATATCCTTATACGCTTGTAATCAGGTTCCAGAGCAAATCTTGACTCATCAGTATACATGACATTGCCCCAGTCAGATACATTCCAATTGACATGTGTCCGGCACCACTGTAATCGTGCCCCTCTTGATTGGACGGATAGAGGAACACAAACTCGAGGTTTCCAAATGTACAGTCCACTCATATGCAATCTTCGACGTACAGTAGCTGGAGATATCGCCTTACCAATGGACGCTGAAACCTTAGATGCCACACGTGTGGAGGTCGCTCTGCGATTCCGCTTGGCTACAATAGCAATATATCGATCTTCCGCGGGGGTGTTGTAACCCTTGGGCGACCGGCTACGGGTCTTCGGACAACTGATTTTATGGTTTGGAATTGTTTCCATAAACTTGAAATTACAGAATGATTAACCCCGAAGAAAAGAGCAACATCTGTGATCAACTGTCCTGCTTCAATGCGCCCCACAGCACGCCAGCGCTCAGAATCTTCCATTCGTCTTCTGGAAGTCATAGAAACACGTATGTCTTGAAAACAAATTGTACAAAAGTTTTAAACACCTTCTATCAGCACTTGCAATCAATTTCTGTAACCCTTCATAAAGCTAGCTTCTTATAAGACTGCCTTTTTTGCATATTTCTTGACATGAAAGCGCGATTGGCTGTTACGTAACATATTTTCATACTTCCATGTACCTCTGCAGGGAGTTGCATCCTCTTCAATTCTGATTAGCTTCCGGAAATTAGCATTTTTCTCTCCGTACTTAACTTTTGGAAGTGAGTGTATTTTAGTAAATGAAAAAGGGAAATTCTGAGAAATCTCTTATGAAGTTAAAGCTTTGTGAAATAATTGAAAATTTTTAATTGAAAAAACGCATTTTTTAGAATTTTAAATGTGAAAAAGTGCTGAAAATCTCTTTGTGAATAATTTTGTTAGATTTCTGCCTATCCATATGAAATCCTGTTACTTTCTACAAAAAACATTTATTCTTTCAGAAATTGGTTTCAAGTTTTTTCTTATATTTCTGGTTTTTTGTAAGACTCTGCTATAGAATGTGTCAGAAATACGTCTATACGTTTGACGTGAATGTTACGTGTTGTACATTATACAGCCGAAAAAATATATATTAAAATCTAAAACTTCAATTTTTTCCCTTTCGAATAAGAGTCACGTGTTTGACGTTATATTATAGGCAAGGTAACTCTGAACGTGCAACATGAGCGTTTACATTAGGAACCGCCCATACTGCATCTGGCTAATAATTGACCATTTCTCAGATTGAGTGTTAAGCCAGTGAAACTGGGAGAGCATTTCTTTTAATGCAGTATTCCTGCTTTAATCAATAGAAAGAAAAAAACTGCGTATAATATAAAACATCTAAAAAAATATTCGCTGGAAACATTCACGATAGCAATGATGCTGCAGCATAGGCAAGATCTGAAAGCATTCGAAACGGCAAGCATTTTCAAGCAATAATGAGAGTCTGAATGGTATTACTGTCTTTTGTTCTTCAGGCTGAAGACTTGATTTCCGAAGGTAATATTTCATATTCCATAGGTCATCTCATAATGCAGTCAAATGTGTAGCCACATTTCTGATTCAGACTGCAAATTAAAAGTTTTCCCTGCTTAAAGTAAAAGTTAAATTTGTGTCTCACATATATAAGGTGATTTTTAACGCATTAGTTACATCTAAGACCTGGTTACCTACCAAGCGTGAAAGGTCCAGACCCAGGGGTACACAATTTAAGAGGCCTTATAATTTCTCATTAACCAGTTCTGCCCTTTTCATGTTAAAACGAAAGCGGATGTTGGACAGACTTCAAATAATGCTGCTTTTACCACCTCAGACTGTCATGATTGAGCTTATCTTTAAGGGTGCCAGAGAAGCAACCTTGTTACTAAACATACCTGAAAACTGACTTTTAATGAAAAAATGTGATAAATTATACCTAAAAAAAGTAAGGAACTTTATATGCTTCAAAATATGAGATCACCGGTGACGTTTATATATCTAGAAAATGTTTGCTTAATTTTTGACCAAGAATTAAAGTAGTAATTCCAAAACGGAGTCTGAAAAACTAAAAAATATTGCCTCTACCCTTTCAGTTACTTCTTTTCTCTGAGGGTCCGCGCTATTATGCACATAACATATAAAATTCTTGAATTAGAGCTGTATCTACTTACGCGTTTCACCGACCTGAGTATGATATTTGTCGCAATCCTGGAGCAAGACAAAGCAGAATTGACTTACATGTGCGAACGTTATAGATCTGACTTTCTTCGCTATCATAAAGTCAACTGATCTTATTAGGAAACCTGATGACTTTTCGCACAAGCGTGAATAATACCAGCACAGAAGAAGAATAAAACAAGCCCTTTATTATTCGTCAAACTCTTAACACAAATGCACGTACTTCCTGCCTACAATAACACCGAGGACCTGCAGTGGAACTAAAAAATAATTTAACAATAAATTTAGAGATAAATAGTATGACTGAACTAACAATTTAGTTTAAGGCTAACTAGGCTGATTCAATAACCTACCTTGCGAAGTGCTTATCAAATTGCCAAAAATGCGTATCAGCAACTCAGAGTAACAACAATGAGGACAGAATGGTAACGTGTGCTGGCTAGTGAAATCACGCTCTGAATAAGCGTCTGGATTCTTCGGTATTTATACTCTCTTTACTTGATTTTTGCATCCTGGCTCGGAAATGCTAGGGATAAAATGAGAGGTTCAGGAAAGATAACCAAACTTAAAATAATTTGTTATGAAATCT